TGCTAAGTGAAATAAGTCAGGCAGAAAATGACAAGAACCATATGATTTCACTCATGTGTGGGATATAAAACAGAAAACAACAAATGAACAAACAAAACAAACTCATAGACACAGAAAACAGTATGGTGGTTGCCAGAGAGGAGGTGGGGGGTGGAGGGAAAATGAAGAGGGTAAAGGGGTCAAATATATGGTGATGGAAGGAAATTTAACTTTGGGTGGTGAATACATAACGCAATATACAGATGATGTATTATAGAATTGTACACTTGAAACTTATATAATGTTATTAACCAATGTTATACCAATGTTAAATTTAATTTAAAAATTAATAGAAGTTGGTCAGGCAGAAAAAAAATTGAATGATGTTGCAGATTACAATTATATATTCATTAACTGTATTTCTATAACATCCTGAGAATAAAAATACCAAGGAAGTACAGGAGTTAAATAATATGTTGATGCTATTTAGAAATAAGTATTTATAGTTAAGTTTTAATGTTGTCTGTGGATTTAATTTTATGAGATTAAACAGTAAACAGACAATAAAATAAATATTTAGTTCTAACTAGATTACTAATTTACCTTTAAGCAGTGTCTTGCCTTTTGCCTTGCGATCACAATATAAGAATGAGAATTGGCTTACCCTGATTTATGTTGACTCTCACGTTTGGCCTCCTTGCATTTGTGGTTTGTAACCACGAGAAGCTATTTATTATTCTATCAGTATTGTGTAGTATCAAATCACCAAATATGCAAGATTTTCTTGACTCCATAGGTCCCTTTTTTGGTGACCAGTTCATCAACATGTGACACACATAATAATATGAAAATGCATGCATGTAGCAGAATGAAGAAGTATTCATTAGCTCATTCATGCTTTTATTCATGTATTCAGGCACTCGCTTAGTTTCTATGTATGCCCAGTGCTTGTAATAGCCAGTGATGACAATAGGATGAAAAATAAATTCACAAGTGATCCTCTGCCTAGACTTTTAACAAAAGAGGACTTATTTGCTTTATATATTGTTTCTTGATTAAAGACTATTATTTTTAACTGCCTTTGTATTCACAAATGTTTGACGTTCACAGGTTTTGAATTTTACACTAGAATACAAACTCAGTTAACCCTTTTATGTGGAAATTCCTGATTTTCTCAAGGTATGAAACCTGAGAGGTAGGAAAAAAAATAAAAACTTTGTTATTTTTGAAATGAAAGTGAAAACAGAAGGATAATTCATGACTTTGGTAATTGTTCTTTCCTATTGTGGACATTAGCCTAAGATCATAAGATATACTATTTGTTTTTCATCAGTACTTAAGATTGCTTTCAATCATCTTTTAAGCGAATTAAACTAAAATGTAGTAGAAACTGAATATTTCCATCATTGATTTGAAAAAAAAATAAAAGATAAGATGCTGCAGAATATTTCCTTTTCAATTACTTAGATTCTTTTACTATTTCTAGCCAACTTAATATTTTTTTCCTAAGTAAAACATTGGACTTTTGAAAAAAAATAATCACAGTAAAAGATGTTATTTCTACTTTACTAATTTCCCGTTCACTTTACATAACTGGTTGTCTTGAACAAATGAATTTCATGAATTGGATAAGTGGCATAATATAAGGCTTTAACTATGTAAATATCCATAAAACTGTAAATAATCATTTACTGATAATGTAGAGTTAATGTACATATCCAGTGATAATGTATACTGAAATGTAGCAATGGTCTGGAGATTATCACAATTTACACAGTGCCATTCTGTAGTGGAGTGCTTGCTAATGTTTAACTATTGGAAGATGATATTAATAACTTCTAATAAGAAATTATTTTAAATTATGATAATATTCTCAGGTATGTAAAGGATACTTTAATGATTGGATACTGTTTTCATTTATTATCTAGGAAGAATACTTTCCTGGATTTAGTAAATGGATAATTTCAATTTATCTCATCATTTACCACTTTCAATTTATCCTATTTGAAAACACAACAAATCTAGCAATTTGGTAAGTTTTTATCACTGCCACATTTAGAAAATCTAATTGTTAGTCAAAGTAGTTTTCTTTTTCAGTGAGCATTTCTTGGTATTTGTTACCTGTATTATATGGTTTATTATGTGCTCTTTAAGCCATATCAGTATTTATTTTTATGTTCTTCAGATTATGCCCATTCCTGGGTCTCTGTAACAAATGTTGGGTTTTCCCCCACTCTGACATAGGTGCTGTATATTTTCACTAGGTGAAAGTAATTCAAACATGATATATTCTGTGGAAATGGCTGAACTATGTAAGCTTGGTTTTAAAGGTAGATAATCTTTAAAACCATATTTATGATCAGAGCCACAACCAAAAATAACAAAGACAATGCTGAATTCTTCTCACAGGATTAAACTATGTAACACATCTTCCTGACAGATTCACAGAATATATTGGAATTTCTAATTATATGCTCATGCTAGGATTGTAACAACGTGAAAGTCACAAGCTGCTTTGTGCTAAATGTAAAAGCGGGTAGGGTGGAGTGAAGAGGAGGTAGCAAATATGTAATCTTATCTCTACCCACTCAAATCTAATTGAGAAGTCAATTAGAAAGATTAGCATTAACCATTCAAGAATGAACTCAGGCTTTGCTTATTAATTCCTCCTTGTGTGTGTATGAGCTAGCTGAATAAAGGAAATGATGATTAATTTGCATGAAAAAGCATTATTCAGTTCTGTGGAAACCTGAACTGGGCCTTGATTTCTGAGAAGTCATCACATGCCAAAGTCAATATTTTAAATGTACATTCAGAGCATACTATATCTGAACACCTTTCTAAACAGTTTAACTCAATTGGAAAGTTTCCTAGTCTTCTATTAAATTGTTAACCTGGAGTCCATTTCTGCTTCCTAATTGCCCAGACTTTGAGAAGGAGGAAAAGAATATGGTAGATCGAGACAAAGCATGGTGGTTCTCTTGTGGTGTCCCCAGTTAAGGGAAGTTTAGGAAATGGTCACAGCACTGAAGAGAATGTGTCTAGAATGGAAGTATTCAGATAGATGTAATAGGAACTAAAGCAGGCATTTAAGCCATAGGAAAATTGGGTCTGTGGAAAGGGAGAGTAACAGTTATTGAACATAGCCTAAGTGACGGGCATTACATTTGGCTTTCCTTCTGAATTTTATCTGCAGTCAGAGTTTGTATAGCATTAAGTAAAAAAGGGATAGTGAGAGGAGAGAAGATGAGAGGGTCAACTAGATTTGAAATAATAGGTAGGTGGCAGAAGTAACTAGAGAGGCTAAGAAGTGAATCCTTAGGAAAAGTACCTCCTGCCTACTCAGTTCTCTTAACTTTTAGGATCCATCTATAAAACAAATGCTCACTTTAGGAGAAAAAAACTGACAACTAAAGCATTTGACAACCTTAGAGTAAGAATTTTGGAGACATCAATATTATTTATCATAGTATATTCACCTAGAGGATCTTAACCTTTTTTTTAAATGTTATATATAATATGCATACATAGATCCTCCCTCCATACTCTAATTTGTCTCAATATTTAATTGCTCTAACTTTGAGAAAATATCTGACCACTAGCTTTCAATCATCAACCCTTTATCAACTTTTTATCCTAACCTTTTATGAGTTTCAGGTTTTAACTGTTCTTGATGTTATTGTTAAGGTACCATATCAGGACATATGTAGAATTATACTGAGGTTGGAGTTCTTTAATCTCAATGTAGATCTTTAAAATATAGAAGATAGTGTAACCTCACAAAAATTTCACTTCTTTAAAAAGGCTTTTTCTCTGTTCTTTCTTCCTGATTCAAACTGGCCTTGTCTAGTCTAATAGCACTATGACTTGCTTCTTTTCTTTCCATCTTTGCACATACTGTAGGACTACTCCTTTAATCATTAAGTCCTTAGGACATCAGATTTTAGTAGCATCAAACAGTCTTAGGAACAAAGCCTCAGGCCTGTTGACCACAGAAACAGAGTTTCATCAAAATAAAGATAACATCTTGATCTCAGTTATGTTTCAGCTCCAGAACCATGAAGGATGAACGACCCCACTGACCATATCCCCTCAAAACCAGACAAAACCGACAATATGACTGACATCAGGACTTGATGCAATCAATGATCAACTGTCTCTTACCGTAGCCCCAAACAATCAGTAGAGCCTATGACCCCAACTCCCTTAGCTACCATGATTAATTATCTTTGCCCTATATAAGCTATTCCCTTCCCTATAACCCATCAGGGAATCAGATTTTTGACAGCTAGCTTACCTGCATCTCCAGGATTGGTGCCATTTCCTTAAATAAACCTTTACTTTCTTTGCTGAATACTCCTGTTTATGCCTCTTTTGATTTTGAGGCATGAAGGCAAATGAATCTCCTTTAGTTCAGTAACAATAGTAATCAGGCATATTCTAGGACTTAATTTACCACGACAGCCAATGATTTGTTTGATTTAAAACAATGAAAGCTTTACTGCTGCTTCTGATACTTGTGGTCAAGTATGACACTCAGACCTTTTTCTGATTTAGAGCTGTTCCTGAAGTACAGTGAATTGAAGAAATCCCCCCACAAATCTTCTCTTTCAGGGGATCTGTGCCATATGGTTCAAATTCTTTTCATCTTATCTATATCTTTCTGGCCTGCCTGTCTCCCTCCTTTAGTGGCTTACTTTCCCCTTTGTTATATGTTTTAATTTTCCCTAAGACTGCCTTTGATATATGTTTTAACTTGATTTTACCTGTAAACAAATGACGAAAACAAGTAGAGAGTACTTCCATTGTAATTTGCCCCAGGCCTGACCTGTACTCTACTGATAAATAACCTGTCTTCAACCATCCCATATTTGTGCAATTCGATCTTCTGATAACACTTCATTTTGTTGTCTCTGACTACTTTAATATCCCATTTCCTTGTGTTTCTCCAAGGCATTTCTCTTCTTGGTATCTTTTGTAAACTCAGTTTATCAGACAAATGAATTTCAGCGTTTACTGACCTTGATCCATTTGAGAAGGTCTCACAGCAGTATCAAGAGCATATGCAGAATAATGCCGAGGTTGGAGTCCTGATAAACTCCTCTGTTCTCTGGCAAATTAAATAAATTTTAAAAACGTAGATAGGATAGAGCATCTGCTTAATTAGTTATAAATCACTTTTTTGATAAACTCATTTTTGACATACCCAATGAGTATTCCTATCTTAAGACTGTTATTATGTGTACCTGAGACAAAGCAACAATAATGGCTACCATTTATTGAATGATTTCCATGTACGAAATGTTTCACTTAATATTATCTGATTTTTCCCAATAATTATGAAAATTTTCAAACATATAGCAAAATTAAATTTTACAGTGAATGCCCATGTATCTACCACTTCAATTTTATCACTCTCATTGTACTATACTTGCATTAACATATTTGTGTCCACCATCATCTCTCTATCCCTGCATTAATCCATCTAATTTTTGATACAATTGAAAGTAAACTTCAAATATCAGTTTATTTCACAAAAACTTACATTATCTTATTTGAATATTTACAAAAAGCATGCAAGATAGGTTTTATTAACTCCATTTTACAGATGAAAAACCCGAGGCTGAAAAATTGTAAGGAAATTCCCCAAGGCCACACAGTCAATGATTTATAGGGCAGGGATTTGAGCCCCAGTCTGGCTCCATGACCATACTTTTTCTACTATACTAAAGAATGCCCCAGAGTATATACAGAGTCACTTTGTCAATTTACAATTCAGGGAATGGCAAAGGGGAAAAAAAGGAGCTCAAACTAAATTATATTTTCGCTGGAGGAAAATAAGGCAGCTTAATTTTTTACCCCCAAGAGCCTATAAATAAGCCTAAATGCTTGTGAGCACTACTACTATTCTAATTTATAATCAAGCTTTTTGTTTTGCTTTTCCTTCTCAGTGCAGTTTTCCAATAATTATTTCATTTGGTTCTCAAAACTATGGAGAAGTAGGATATGTGTTTCCCAACTTCCCATTTATAAAGGAGGAAACAGGGGTTAAGTGATCCATTTAAAGTCATAGCCAAGTAGAAGAGAGAGAATTGGAAAACATCCAGTGTTCTTCAAAGCTTTGGAGTAGGAAAGCCATGGAGAAGGATTAAAAGGTGTCTTTACAGGTATGATTTCTAATAAAGAATTCTTTAAAATCACAGATTTCCAACCTAAGTCAAGTGATAATATAAAATTCTCCACATTAATTTTAATTTACAAAATTAATGTTGATTAACATTGACTTTATGCATTTATACATGTGTACCCCGTGGTATTTAAAGAGTATGGAATGATGGTGCAAACAAAGATTAAGATATTGAAATGACAGAAAGGTTGGAGAGTTTATCTCACCCCTCCCAAAGACAAATATCTAAGGCTATTTAAACTGATTTTATTGCAATTTGCAAGCCTGTTCTTAGAAGTGTGAGGCTCACATTATCAGCTACTTCCAATTTTAAAGTAATATTTCAAACTCTCCTCATACTGCATACAGGGTAAAATTATCTTGTCACTGGAGAATGATACTTCAAAGTAGGTGCTAATTTGAATTAACTGATATAAAATTGATGAGATTTTACCCTACTGGTATTTACCCTTCATATCTCTATTGTTCAGAGGCACTGCACAGTATAAAGGGTACCATTTGCTTTTAAGCAAAGAAATAAAGCAATGTTTTATCTCATTAGATTCCATTCATGTAGCATGGAGGTTAAGAGTTTAGGCCTGGGAGCCAGATTGCCCTAGTACAGACAGCCCTATAACCTCATCCAGGTTATTTGATCTTTCCATGCATCAGTTATCTCGTCTGTACTTTGTATAGTGCTCATGAGTATTAAGTGAATTGATAGGTATGAAATATTTATAATTCAGTCTGACACACATTATAAACCCCCCATAAATGATAGTTACTTTCAGTATCATTCTCACTACCTCTGTGAGGTGGGTAGGCCAGATTCTAATAATTTCTATTTTATAAAATGAAGAAATTGAAGCCTAGTGAGGTGAAGAGATTTACCCAAGATCGAGTCGTATTATAGTTAAGTCCATTGAATTCTTCTTTGCATTTATCTGACATTGTTTTGGGGGTTCAGGGTGAATAGGAGGTACTGGAATAGCATCCCCACCTCCCTCTTAGGACAGTATGTGTGATGTACATGAATAGAAGGAAAGCACTGAAGAAGGGCAATTCCTCAGTACATTGCATTTGGATTTTATCTGTGGAAGGGGCTTTCCAGTTTTTGCTGTATCCAAATCCTGACCAAAATGTATTTTGTTATCCTGATTTTTGTTTGAATTTAATTAAATGTTGATGAATATGAAAGAACATACCAGCTGTATGCATGATAAATGATAGATATCCATTATTTCTCGATTCATTTGTTGACCTCACAAGAGATTCCTCATCATTCTTGAAGGTATTTAGAAATTTTTTTACCGGTAATAATTTATATTCTTCTTTGACTTCTCCTTACAGTAGTGGATAGTCTGGATTGTTACACCAACTATTAAAGCTAGTACTATTCCAGGCAATGCTGCTATTAAAATCAGATCCAGAGTATCCCAGAGTTGGTCACATTTGGCTCCCAAGTACCAATAATTTCCTTACTGATCTCTGAAATTTGGATATCTAGGTAGAGATAATAGAAATAGAGAAATTTCACAACTTAGATAAAAACTCGTCTCCCCTGAATGAATCAAACCTTTCATTGTTACTAAACTATGAGGTTTCCCTATAAGGGATTTATGTTGTCTCATTTTCCACTTGAGCAAACACTCTAAAATCTACAGGTTTGAACACACATTGAGTCAGCATGCAGAAGGCTGTCTGGATTTCCCAACCATTAACTAATGAAGATGTGGCACTTAGTTAGAAATGGGAAAAAAAGGGGGGCTCTCTCAGAATGGCTGTCTCAAGACTGCTTGTAAAACTATCCACATTTTGCCTACTTCTCATATCTTTTACTCCAGCTACTTTAGTTCTGTCAGTGCTATGAAAAAAAGTTCAAAACAGCCTACTCTACCAGTTATGTAACTGTAGGCTGGGTGTTTCCCCCACCCACTTTTGTAATGATGAATGCAGGTTAACAGACTGACTCTGCCACTCTACAGCAAATACAAGAACATGATTAGATGAGAATAGACTGCCAGCAAAATCTGTCCCCATTGTTCCCATGACTCCAGATTTTTTCTATAAAAAAGAACTAAATGACTCATATACTAACTTTTAATGTGTTTATAAAGACTTGACATTCAGCCAAATAAGCTGAATGTGTTTCTCTGGTGCATAGGCTGAACACACATATACCCACATAGAAATGTCCATGGGTTTGTGGACAGGAATAATATGACTTCTCATCGTCCTCTATGGGAATGACTAATGGTGAGGTTAGCTCATGCAGTGTCTTTAGAGATTGCTTCATTGGGTCCTCTAGAATTGATAATGGGTTACCCAATTGAACAGTAAATGTCAGATCCTAAGTAAGCATCTCCTGGTTTGTATTATGACAATATATTAAGGAGTATTGTTATAGATGACATGAAAGGATTGATTAGATGATTATTATAATTTTTATACCTCTGATAGTCTAGGGTTCCATAAGGCAATGAATCTACCAGCTTCAAATAGGTAGTAATTTACTTGATAGAACATAGTTTTTAATATATAACACAATGCCATTCATTTAAGGAGGTCAAAATATATTTGAAAAATGTCATCAATATTCATAAATTTCTTCTTGGAAAAATCTTTTGCAAGAATATATTTCTTATTTAACTTAGGAATGAATCACAAAGGAATTATTTATTAAACAATAACAATTCATTCATTTATTAAGCAACATTTATTGGGTACTTACTATTTGCCAAGTACTGTTCCAGGCATTTGAGATAGACCAGTAAATAAAACAAGATCCATGTCATCAAATAGTTTAAAATATAGTGGAGAAAGACAGACAACAAAAATAAGCATAATTACTAAATTATCTAGAATGTTTAAAAGTGGCAAGTGCTAAGGAAAAAAGAAAAATAGAGCAGGGTAGGGGGATTGGCATCGTTGGGGGCAGGATAATGGGGCAGGTTGCAGTGATATGATAGAGTAGTAAAGGGAAGTTCTTATTAAGAAGGTAATATTTGAAGGAAGACTGAGAAGGTGAAAGAATTAGCCATAGGATATTTTGGGAGAAGAGAGCATTCCAAAATGGGAACAGCAAGTACAAAAGGCTCTAAAGCATAAAGGGGTGTTCCTGCATGTTTGAAGAACACAAGGAAATCAGTGTGGCTAGAGCATAGTGAGTTAGAAAATAAGACCAAAGAAGGAAGGAGACCAGATAACAAAATACCTTATAGGTCATTGTAAGGACTTTGACTTTTACAATGAGTGAAATGAGGAATAATTTCAGGGTTTTAAGAAGAAGAGTGGCATGATCTAGGTTATTTTGAAAAGATCACTCTGTTTTCTACTGTATTGAAAACAGACTGTAGGAAGACAAAGGTAGAAGCAAGGGGAAGCGTCACAAAGCTGTTTAGTAATATAAGCAAGAGATATCCAGAATAGCTTAGACCAGGATGATCATGGTGATGAGGGTAAGGAATGGTTGATTTCAACTTTTATTTTTTAAGGCAGAGCCAACAGGATTTCCTGAAGGACAGGAAGTAGGTAGAGTGTGCAAGAAAAAGAGCACTGAAGGATGACTAAGGTTTTTGGCCTAGAAATGAAAGGATGGAGTTGCTATCAAATGAGATGAGAAAGACTATAAAAAAAACATGTTTGGATGGTGGTGATGGGAGTGGAGGAGTTCAGTTTTGCACTTGCTGGTTTTGAAATTGATATTAGATATCCAAGTGGAGACGTTGAGTAGGCAGTTATATCTCTGAATCTGGAGTAATGAATTTTCCCAGCTTGGATGGTATTTAAAGATGAGAATAGATGAGATCACCAATGGAGGAATTATAGATAAAGAGGATGAAGGACTAAGCCCTGGGACACTCCAACATTAAGAGGGTGGGGGACAAGAGAAGAGACTAGCAAAGATACATGAGAAGTGGACAGTGAAACAGAAGAAAAACAAA